CCCCAAAACCCCAAAACCCCAAAACCCCGTCTTACTATATAAAAAGGTATTGTTATAGAAATAAATTTGAATTTAAATAATAGAATTAAATAAAGAGATCACTCTTGACTATTAACAAACAAATAAATATGTCTAAAGTCAAAACAACTACATTTTAAATGAGTTCTCATAAAAGAGAGGAGTCTCTGACTCAGAGTTTGGTGCTGCCTAGCAACAATCCAAAGAAAATTAACCCAGCACCCTTAGATTCAAAGTCCATGAAGACCGTTAAAGTTTCTTAAACTTCCCACTAAAATAAATCACCCAGTCGGCAGCAACTTAAGTAATCTTTAAGCAACACAAATATTCATGGACAGAGCTTCTAAACACTGTCTTAAAACTCAATGAACTAAACCTAGAAGTTTAACAGAAATGGTGGCACTAATCATAATCATAGTAACACCAATACTTCTAATAAAATATATGTGATGCAGCACAACAGCAGAGTCACTAACATGAGCACCTCAGGTTCTTACTCTTCATCCTCATTCGGGTATAATGAGAGCATGAGACTGCAAAAGCAGAGTGACACCAGCAACTTTGGCTTGGATCACAGCGCTAGAGGCGCCTCATAAAATAACATTTCACAGGTTAACTTCTCATACAAGAATTCAATCATATGCCAGTCAACTAAAAACGCTAATAATATAATAGGAAGTGGCAGTAATACCTACAGTAGTGGCAGTGCTACTACTTCTTCAAGCACTCTAGTCTCAAATCTTAATCAGTAAAGAAGAATAATTTAGAAATAAAAGGGAAAATCAGTTTCCTCTGGCAATGTCCTGCCTCTCAGATAAAATTTAAATCAATCACCTATGAAAAGTATCCCCACTAATGATAGCCAATTAGTAAATATACAGACACCAGCAATTATCAGATCAGATAATGTCCAGATAAACTTTTCATCACAGAACACCCCAGCTGAGAAAATCCTTCTATCCATTAAAAAATAGTAATCAGGAATTATTGCCCAGAAAAGTTCATTTAAAGATAGCTTTGTAGATAGTGAAAACTTCATGAATGTTGAGGAGAAAGAAAATTAAGATTTGTTCAGCTATCCTTCACTCAACATAGAGTGCACCAGGGATATTAGGTAAAAAAGCCTAAATGATATGATAAAGGAAAAATACCTTGGTCCTATCCTTAAATCACAATAAACAAATTCCAACTCTTTTATGAAGAGAAACATACTTCTGACTACTTCAAATTGCTCTAATAGAAGCAGTACTTGCAGCATAAAGAGTTCATTCTTAACAAAACAAAGTAAAATTGGGATTAACAATCTGCAGAAGGGATCATTCTAAGATGCTAATGAAACGAATGATGAATTAGAAGATAACACTCAAACCCATTGCTGTGACAGCATAAATTAGTATTCACTTCTTCCAAAGACGATATTTGGAGAAATAGTAAATGAAATACATAGTATGAGTGTATAAAAATCAATAAATAAAGAAGATTAGTAATAATAAAGTACCCCTAAGGTTAGATCATCAATTGCTTAAGATTACAGTCCAAAGAGTAACAGAAATATGGGTATTAATCTTGGCCCTTACAGCTCTGAATAATAAAATTCTGGAGTTTCTGCTAGCTTAAGTGATTTAATTACAGCTGTGCCATAAAATTAATAGCAGAAATAAATGCAATTATTTGGAAATAATCCCTAGTAATCAGCCAAGCAATCTATAAATAGAATAACTGATAATTCCTAAAATTAAGGGTCAGATAAAAGCTTTAAAAACAGCTCTGATTAGAATAATACTTCTTCAAGACTTTCAAGATAAACTCATTCGAATATTTCGTAAAGAGATTCTCATCAATAACAATAGTAAAATTTTGAGTATGTACCTGAGGAATCTAATTCTAGCAGTAATTAAGAGGATATTATCGAATTCCTTTAATCAGATACACATAAAATGCATTTGATTCAGACTTTACAATCGTTATAGTACGTTAAAAATTTCTTATAGCAGCCATCTTATGATTAAATTTACTCTAAGAGAGTTAATTTACCTCATTTCAGAAGACCTCATATTAATAAAACTATCATCTTTGACCTAGATGAGACTTTAGTTCACTGTGTTGAAGATATACTTAATAATCCTGCTGATAGAATGATAAAAGTTTAATTCCCAAATGGTGAGGTAGCAACAGCTGGAGTAAATATAAGGCCATATGCTATAGAATGTCTGAGAAGAGCAAGTTAGCTATTTTAGATAGTAGTTTTTACTGCTTCTCATAAATCTTATGCTGATGTTGTACTTGACATTCTAGATCCTAAAAATGAAATATTTGAAATGAGACTATACAGAGAAAGCTGTGTCAGATCATAGGATGGAGTTTATGTCAAAGATTTAAGAATCTTTGAGCATTGCAGATCTTTATCTGACATGGTCCTAGTAGATAATGCTGTGTATTCATTTGGATATTAACTTGAAAACGGAATTCCCATAATCCCATTTTATGATGATAAAGAGGATGAAGAGCTACTTCATCTCTCCTAATATCTTGAATGTTTAGCCAAAAATGGTGGCGATGTGAGAGAACATAACAGAAAAGCTTTCTAACTAAGAGAACTTCAAGAATTAGATGTTCAGCAATTCCTTCAAAATATGATCACTGAGAGTTAATTATACGAATAAGAAAAAGCTAATAACCTCCAAAAAAGCACAAGCAACAAAAGTTAAACTTAATGGGAAATTCTCTAGGTTGATTCTAGCATCATCAATGAAGAACCTTAAGAAGACGAAGAATCAAGCATTTAAGAAAGCAGTAAGCTGAAAAATCGCAGAAGATAGATCATCAATCAATACTCAAACACAAAATCTCAAGAAACTTCATATGGAAACAATTTCATAGAGGAAGTAGAATATGAAGAAGAGGAAGATGACTAAATTATTAATAATCGACATATAAATAACTACGATTATGATACTGTTCGCGAAAGTCAAAGAGTGCATACTAGCACCAGCATCTTAGATCGTGACAACTATGACTGAAAAGGCATTGATCTTTTGTTTGCATTGTAAATCAAGATCTCTCTCTGTCTTTGAAATCCTATATATTTAAATATTATTGATTGTTGTATTCTTTAAATATTCTCTGTAAGTATTTGTATTTCTTACACAAGGGGTTTTGGGGTTTTGGGGTTTTGGGG